TTCAAAAAATCTTTAATAATAAATTTTTATATGATACCATATATAGTTTTGATTTACATAGTTTACCGAACACCCCAGTGTAACATGTACATTGTGACAGGGAAAATGGTACCACAATGAAAACTAAGCTATCAAGAGGACAATAATGCTCTAAAACCTAACACAAAGACTACTAATTTCGCTAAAATCCTCTTTTTACACCCTAGCTGGTAGGCTTCGATTGAGGCGTGGTTTGATTTGGTCCGAGTAACTAGGGTCAATCAGAGCTCTAGACTACGTCACGAATTACTTTGTACAGAATCACGGGATTTGGTCACTATTTCCAATCGTTATTACAGATTTTAATTATCGGGGGAATTACAAGTTAAATACTCTGATTTCTTTAACTTGGAACTTCCAACTCCAGGGAGTTCTCCTTTATTTACAGCGAAATACTTGTGTTTATATACATTTTACACTATACTAATTTACTACGGATTCTTCTACCAATACGACCATATCTGTCAGAACTGTCAGTTCTGTCATTTCTGCCATTTCTGCCAGTTCTGTCAGTTCTGTCAGTAATGAGTAGATTTCAACCGAATTTAGTTAGATCGCCCGTGCTACTTCGACGACGATCTTGGACAAACTTTCCCTCTCACAACGTACCATTTTGTGCATTTCCGACATCAACCCGCGCCACAACACTGACAATTTTTTTATACATAGGGATGTATAAATCTGTAAATTACTTAGAATTAATTCATTGTCTACTACATTATCGTCAATAATCGTTAATTGATTTTTTACTGCACTCTTATTTACATCATTCGGATCACGTCTAAGATCTATATATTCTTTTATTTGTTTACCAAGTGAGTATGATCTAATTATTTAAAACTAGAGCAACCGGTGAACAAAACACTGCATATCGATACCCAGTAACACCGTACTACCATATGATGCAGTACTCCAGCCATTAGCGTGTCGTAATAAATACTACTCAAACACAACGAAATTGGTTTAACAAGTGAAATTGGACGACTGGGCACCCACAATCGTCAAATAGTAAAGAATAAAACGAAAATCGTGTATAACATCACACTGTCCTAAGTATAATGAACAGCTGTGTACGCCACACACTTTTTGACGAAATAGGTTGAGCAGTTGTGTATTCTCAACATTGTTCTATGGAAAGCTGTGTACTCCCCACACTGTGCTGAGTAAAAACTAAGGAGAATAGATTGGAAATAAAATTAAAAATGTGTTAAATTAATGCAATATTGGCAACTAGGCAGCAGCATCATTCCAACAATTTTCTAATATAATGTGTCTTTGAATTAAGAAATTTGATTTTAAAATATTGATATTATAGTTGCAATGAAAATCCGAGCGAGAATAATATGTTACCAACATCGTTCCATAATTTACCGGAATTTATGAAAAATGTTATGTAAAAAAAATTTAAGCAAGTTTTAAAAGATATCAAGTGAAGAGAGACCAATGTCTATATAAATTGTTGATTAACTTGTTTACGTATTGCGTTCAAAAAAGAAATAAATTTTAAAAGCTCGAAAAATTTTTAACTTTAATTAATTAAAAACATTATCAAATACTTAGCAACGGATATTACAGAGCCTGTTATATCTAGTTATTTGTTTGTTGAAGCTATGCAAATTCTGGTTTTTATAATAAAGAAAACTTTATTATAATTCACAAATTTTTCATGAACCTATTCGAATTTATTTTAAAGAATAAAAGTTATTAAGCATCGCTAGACGTTTAAATATTTTTATTAAAATAATAGTCCAAACTCAAAAGTTTGAGAAAGAACGACTTTAGGATAAAATTAGTCTTGCTTTGAATGTTCACAAAGTATTTATAATTGCCAGAAATAATAATAATTAATAATAATTTAAAACGTAAAGATTAGGTGTCTTCAAAGCAATCAAGTGGCAAAATTTCTAAAAAAAAAAAAAATCAAAATTTTGAAATTATCTCAA